CGTGATAATATGCAATGGCCTATACCAGTGGAGGTCTCGATCGCGAATCTTTGAAGTCCGCGATGGCTTCCGTCCGTCGGCAAACGCGCGAGGTCGCGGCGCGGCAAAAATCGCTCGCGAAACTGTGGGAAAGCCAAACATATGTACACAAATGGCCTTTCTGCAGGAGAAAGAATGAGAGAGAGAGAGAGAGAGAGAGAGAGAGAGAGAGAGAGAGACCCTGCCCATTTTCTTCTGGTGCATCCGTTGGTACATGCGTGCGTGCGTACGAGCGTAACGCATACGGACGAGCAGCTGTGACAATTTCTGATACTCGTTGGTAAGCTGTAATCAAACTTAAATTGAGAGCAGCGAGATAGCCCGTACGCCCGTTTCCTCACTGGCGACTCACTTTCTTCAGCCTCCTTCGATTCATTAAGGGCTTCAACTTCATCTAACGTTCTCGGTGTCACTTGTCTCCTTAACTGCGTTCCATCTGTGGTCCGCTAATGTTTATTAACTTGCCAGACCTTTTCGCGATTTTTCGCGTAGGATGTTCAGGATATTTAAACTGAGCAATCGCTTGAAGAAGTCTCGCTGATGTCCAATTGCGAATCCAAAGACTGCCAATCCGCGACGCCTTGGCTACGTGAAGTAAATGCTGCGGCTGCGGCGGATCTCTTCCGGACCTCCCATCGTCCGTCTAACGAGACCACCGGAGCTCCGGCGGCTAAAAACCGCGCGCAAAAAGCGACCAAAGTACGGTCTTTATACGGTCCGTTTTATATCGCGGACCGATTCCCGAGCGCCGCGCTCCAATTACGGGTGAATATATACGCTCGCTCCTGTCGGACGTATATTGCCCCCGCGACCCTATCGTCGCTTTATATGGCGAGAAGCGATAGCGCGCGCTATAAGTTCGCCACCGGATCCGCCGCGAATTTACTGTTTGCCAGGCGACGTTACTCACTGTCCGCGAATGAGGTACGGCGATCCGCGACCGCGCCGCCGATCCTTCCTTCCTTCGCCAAGTGATTCCAACGAATCGCCGCCGCGAGCAAGAAAAGTCACCATTTTTGCCCCTTTTCCTGTCCTCTCTCTCTCTCTCTCTCTCTCTCTCTCTCTCTCTCTCTCTCTCTCTCTCTCTCTCTCTCTCTCTCTCTCTCTCTCTCTCTCTCTCTCTCTCATTGTCCGCTCGCGCTCAATGCCCGCCAATTTATCTGTTTGCATCGCGTCAACGTGGATGCCCACCACGCTCGTCCTCTCGGCCGATCTCCGTTACGAGCGATCCGCCATTCGCGAGCGAGTCCGCGGAGGGACTTCTTATCACATTAATTAAATGATATCGTATACTTATACTTATTACGCGTACATATTACGAGTCGTCACGCGTCGAGGCGTTTTCATATGTTTCGCATACGTCCGCGACACTCATCTTTGCGTCGGGGCCCTTGCATCACGTACGCACGCACGCACGCACGCACGCACGCACGCACGAGTCTCTAAATCGCCGCGGACAAGCGAGAAAAAGCAGGTTGGCGCTAATGGCCGGGAGCATCTCGTTGGCGTTTATGGGGCGAGTTCCCGAAAGCACGACGAGTTCCTCACGCTCTGCAGGAGAGAGAGAGAGAGAGAGAGAGAGAGAGGTCCTGTTTACGTTTGTCGGGACGTAACGAAATGACCCGGTAGCGTGTAAGAAATACGACGTCCGCGTCCGCGTCCTTCGCGTGCCACGTCTCTGCGAGCGAGCCGACGGACGATTTCGCGCGGACTTCCTCCTCCGCGCTGTGAGCATTACAACGGCACTCTTCTTCTCGAAGTAACCGGATGTCACGAGCGAGAGCACCTCTCCTCGGTCTCGCTCGCTTGGAGCGAGAAATAAAATGGCGAGCGCGAGCCGCGAGATAGAGGATATAATTTCAAGCCGAGTCGAATTTTCGGCTCACCTCCCGAGCGCGAACGCGGACGCGGACCCGTCGCGTTCGCGTGACGCGGCCGAATATAGATATCACTCCTGGGCGATCCGAGGAAGAACGCGGCGGCGGGGGGAGGGGGGGACTCGTTATACACCGCCCGGCCAAATTACGGCGCAGCTCGAAGAGCTTGCCTCTTAAACGTACAAATCGCGCACGAAGGGAGGCGGGCGCGATTGCCTTTCCGCCGCGAGCCGTTTCTCCGCGCGTTATGTTTCTCGCGCGCAGAACGCAGATAATCAACGCGGCGCGGCTACAGCCGACGGAAGGTCCGCCACGTCGTGTCGCGGCTCTCTCGCTCGTCGGAATCTCGCGCGGTAGATCACACACGGCTCGGCCGGACGCGCCCGTTTGCGCGCAGCGCAGCGCGACTCGCTCGCGCGCGCATCTCTTACGTATGCGCGCAGGCATAAGCATAACGCAGAGGAACACGGGTAGATGATATCGCGGATGCACCTACGGGACCGCGGGGCGTCGACGCGATCCTTTGTCCTCGTTCCCGACCGCTCGTTCCTCTCGCCGCGCGCTCGCGCGCCCGGTCACATCGTCTCTCACCCCCCTGGGCCCCCTCTCGACGGCGGACCTCGACCCCGCGCATTTTGTTGTTCGCGACGGGAATACCTTCCCCGTGCCCAATCTCCCGTGCATCAATCCCATGCCGGGAGAGCCCGCGGAATTGTGTCGGGTTAGAGGCGCGCTCGTGCGCCGCGCCGCCGAGACGTGGGGGCATACGCACGCACACGCACACGCACACGCACGCACACGTGTGTATTCGCTCTCGGGGTCACCGCGGCCTGCGCCTCACGACGAAAGGTTACGCGCGTGCATGCCCCCCTCCGGGAAAAATCGCACTCGTCTCTCGTTGCGACGCGCGACCATTTCGCCGGACCTGCTTGTGCAACGACGACTCCTCGTTCACCATCTTCGAGAAGAAGGAAGAGAGAGAGAGAGAGAGTGAGAGAGAGAGGGGGGGAGATAGAGAAGACGTCCGCGGCGGATCTTCGCCGTTCCTAATGATCGTCCGTGCGTATGTCAGCTGATTTGCCGTCGTGCTATCTCATGATTTCGTTTCGTTTCGGACTTTTTTTCATAACAGAGAAGTTGCATCGCAGTGTTATTATTATTTCCGGCTCACTTCTTTCTTATCCGCGCGTTGTCTCTCACGTTATGAGTTTCGTGATACGATAAGAATTTCATGATTGGATATATCACATATTCATGACATGTGATGCAATTTGATGATATATTACTCGTCGTATTATTCGTCGAGATGATGGATCCTTTCCCCTAGATTTACTGTTCGTCTCGCGCACGTGAGATTGTCGTATTAAGAGGATTCCGAAATTGAAATTACGTGGGACGTTCGGACGCAACGCAAATGCACGTTTGCGGGGAAAATACCTGCGCGACCGTTGCCGCGCCAATGCGGGCCGCGCTCGATCATTACTCGTCGTTTCATTAGAATATCGCCTATAAAGGGGGTTTAATTACAAAGGCACCGCCTCGCTTCCGGTCCACGGACACACATACGCGTGCAGCGCCCTGCGTGCTGCACGCATGCCCGCCCTTCTCGCGCCCTCCCTCCGCCATCGGTTTTACGTGTATTTCTACATATCGAGGGTGATTAGTAAGGTCGTTTTCTTAATTATGAGGCGCTGTTAATAAGAACCCCACCGTCGTGTTGCAGGCGCGTGATTGTACAGCTAACGAGAATTCGTCGGTGTACACGGCGCTGTGTAATAGTTTTTAACCCCTTAGGCTGCAGGAAGTGAATATATATCGTGATATTCTCTAATTTTATGTTCGACAGCTCATTACGTATGTGTGCAAATACAGCGGCGAGATATAATGATAGTATCCACAATGTGTACTCATAACGATGTATTAAAATTTATGAAGTCGGACGACACACAAATATGAGTCAGAGAGGGGGAGAGAGAGAGAGAGAGAGAGAGAGAGAGAGAGAGAGAGGGAGAGAGAACGCGATACAGTACAGCGGCGATTCGTTTTTCGGACTTTCTCTCTTGTTAATTAATATCTGCGACGATCGACGTGCGTGTCGATTTTTAAATAGAAGCCCGGGATGCACGCAAGAGACCGATTTTGTGTAAACAAGCATCTCTCTCTCTCTCTCTCTCTTTCATATTTTCTCTCACGGAACACTCTTAAAAGTACAAGGAAAATTATGGTAGACCGTAAATTAAGTCGGAATTTATCGTGTCTGTTACTAATTGGTCGTTGAATAAATATAGAGGCGCATGTTCCGGGCGGTGGCTCACGCCAGCGGTGGCAGGGACAGATTACGATTTCGCCTGAACGTCTGGTAAAAAGGTCTGGCCCCAAAGCGTGTCGCGCGCGTTTTGATCCTCGATCGTAAAGAGCTTACGGCGGGAAGCGTTAAATGCACTCTCCGCGCGCGCGTTGTTACCGTCTCCATTAATATGTGCCGGCGCGTTTGAAATACACTATTTAATTCGGCCGGCTGGCCGGCCGGCGAGGACCGCGTCTCCTCCGAACGTTGGAAATCCGTGGAATAACGTGACACGCCGCTAAAAGGTTTCGAGAATCGTCTATTTACGCGGCTGAATAAAATATCTCATCAAATGCGCCAACATCGATAGATACTCCTCGCGGCCATTAAAGATGTACGCGCACGATATTCTTTACGCTTGTCGACAATTTTGGTTAGTATGTATCATTTATTTGTCGGGCACAATCGGCGAGATAAATCTTCCCGTCAAGTGGAAATAGCGATATGTATATACATGAAAACAGTTCTAATTGTACGCGTATAATTATGCGCGCAGATAGGTGGCTCGGGATCGCTCGACCGTGACTATTACTCATTATTATTCAACTGTTTCTCGCGATTCGCATTGTCACGCAACGCTCCTATCTCACACATAAATGTTGACAGTTACGGAAACATTGTAAAAACCGCGCATTGGGTTTTCCCTGCGGACGACGGAATGTCTATTCCTTGATTCCTACGTGATATCTGCAGCGTCCGTCGTTACCGACGGGCCACTTCGCTTCGCAGGCAGCCGTCCGCGGCACTGTCGCGACTGTCAGTCAAACCAAGATGGCGTCGCCTAGTGAGTTGTCGCTCGAGGAGATTCGGAATTATTTATTGGAGAATGGCGGTACGACGCGCAATCACGACCTCGTGAAGCATTTCAAGCGGTTCCTCACGGACCCGGAGACGCGAGGTGGGTTGAATGTCCGCGAGGTACAATCGCGTTCGCGACGCCGAAGCTGCGTCCTCTGCGTGAGACGCGTATGTGTGTCCGACCTGATGTAAACATACGAGCGGCTCGCCCGAGCCCGCAGCTACGCAAAACACAACACAGTGCAACGTACGTTTTCTCCTTACAGTCGAGGCGCGGAATCGGTTCAAGGAGTATGTCAACATCTTGGCCACTATAAAGAACGAGGAGGTAGGTTATGGGCTCGCAGTTCCTTCTCGCCTCTCGACGAGAGCGACTTGTTGCGCGGCGCGACGTTGCCGGCTCGGCTACGCGGCGCGCGATCAGCTCGCAATTTCAAACGCGCGAACGGTGCTTCCGTATGTAGATGTCGTTTCCGGATCCGCCATTGCCGCGATAATTTTCGCGCGTATTTAGTCTGTCGCGCGCTTTGTTCGTCGGGCAAAATTGGATCGAATTCGGCGTCGTGCGAAGTGAAGTGTCGCGTCAGTCTTGTCGAATCGCTCGCGTGAGGTGTTCTCAAAGTGAACGTTTCCGCAGGGCGAAAAGTATCTGGTCCTTAAGAAGAAATACCGGCAGGTTTCCTTGGACCTTTCATCCCCCCCGCAAGTGGGCTCACCTCCTTCGATTAGCACTCCCGATTTAGCTGTTCCCCTTTCTCCTTTACGAGAACCTCCACCTTATCGACCGCCTCCTCCCGCACCCCTTAGTCCGACGTCAAATAATTCGCAAGCGAGCTACGAGGAGGGTCAAACGGCATCTAACCTGACCACCCGCGAAGACGACGGAAAGAACAGTAATTCGGAATATGGCGCGACTGATCATTCAGAACCCAGTGCGTCGGTGTCGTCACCTCCGGTCCCACCGCGTCGCAAAAGTCAGGACAAGCTCAAACTCGAGAACAAGGAGAACATCGAGAAGAATGCAAGGGGCTCCTCGGAAGCCGTCATAAAGGTAAGTTTGCACAGATTGTTTGTGTGCGTGCGCGGAAAGGTTATGTTGCAATGTTCTTTTGAATTAACTCGTTGTTGCTGCAAGTCGCGGCGAATGTACGCAAACGTTAACGATATATCGTCACGTACTTTATCATTCGATGCGGAAGCAATGAATCATATTTCGTGCAGAGCAGAGATTAAAGAGAGATTAATACGCACAGAGCTTGTTATAGTATATACCAGCAATAAAATAAAATATTTTGTCGATTGAAATATTTGTGACACGATAGTAAATTTTTTTTTTAATAAATGGCAATATCTTATATATCGAGATTTGTTTCGATGTTGTGTGTGATAGTGATAATTACTTATAATAAATAATAGATAATTATAATAAAGTAGAAAGAGAATAAAGAACTATGGAATAATAATTTCAAAATTCTAAAATTATGTGCACGAAATGTGGATAATTGGAGTGAAAATATTCTACATTGATTCAAACCCTACAAAATTCTTTTTGTATCAGTTTACCAAACAATCGATTCAACAAAATTCAAAGTTGACCTTGAAGGGCCAATAGAGAAACGAAAAATAACTTTACAAGTTTTTGCCTTTCGATGTATTATTCATCACATCATTGCAGCTGTAATATAATTACTGTTGTTTTAAGTTACTTAAATTTACCAACTTAAATCACGTTATCCTTGGTTATGTCCGTTTAAATGAAAACATCACTTTTACAACAAACGTCTGGGCATACCTGGGAATTTACAAAGTTCCTTACATCCGTTGCCTTGACTTTCTTTTTCAGTATCCTATTTCTCACTGCTTCGTCATGGTCTGTTTGACGATTGTTTGTATACTGACAGGCTCGTAGATATGGCAATTTGTTAACGCATGTTAAACTACGTGACATCGAAAAGACGATCTCTTCGACGAGATTAAATATTTTAAGATGACAGAAATAAAAAAAGTATTTTGATATTTCAATCACCCGGCGGAATGTTAATTAAAGCATCTACACATGTATATTTGGATATGCGGATCGCTCGCACAGACTCGGAACATGATATACGGGAATAACATTAACCGTCTCGAAGATTCGATTTGTTTTGATCATTCGACTGTAGGTCGCCGAGCGAAGACAATGAGCGAAATCCTCGTCCATGTTGTTTTGATATCGCCACATGTCCCGTAGTTTTTCATGATCGGAGTGTACGTGAAGTACGTTCTAAGGCATTGAGCGACGTATACTCTCGTGTGATACAAAGATAGGCGAGTTCGTTAAAAATGACGTCAGGCGATCGAGATGTTTCGTTGATTCTTGAAATATTTATTTATTTAATCGGGCTCTCGCGTCGCTATCGCGTAAGTTAACGTCCCGATTGAATTGCATCTGCGCAAATGACAGTGTCACGATAAAGCAGAATGCTGAAGCGAGAATAACTAGGATGCTGAAATGTTGGCATATCGTACATTTCTAGGTGTGCAAATTCATTTATTATACAAGAGGCTTCGGATATTAATGGACATTGCCTGAATTCACCGAGAATTAGCAAATGCCGAAATCAAAATTTAAATTTACTCATTCACAATTCGTTATCTGATATGATAAAAAATTATAGCTCTGTGAATCTTTATTTACTCATCAACCTGTGCTTACATCTATTTTATAAAACAAGAAACATTGATCGAAATAGTCGAATGACGACGATTCATCGATGCTAGTAATTATAAAGTTAATACGGAAGAAAAATGTCGACTAGGCAAGTGTCTGATAAATAACGCAGATTCCATCTCAATATCTAATTCTACAATTGTGACTTTCGAATTGCAGGAAGATGAAGTGACCCCGACGAATCCAGGGTCGGCCGAGCAGTTGAGCGTTCGTGAGCGAATGCAACGTTTCAATCGGATGGCAAGCGAAACCGATCTTCCGAGCAGACCCAGCGGCGGCACAACTACCCCTACTAAGAAACGAGCGGAGAAAGTAAGTGACTCTTTGCACTTTTCTTTCGTTTCGCTGCATGAGTTCGGAGCGAATGAATGGATAGAAGGAAAGAAACGAACGAGCCCTTAACACGGCTCGTAAATAAAGAAAAAGAGAGCCGCGACAACACGTGACAAACAGCGGCGCGAGACGAAAATACGCTCGCGAAAAATATCGCCAGGGCCTATCGAATCGCGCGAAGGCGAATTTCTGGAATGGAGTATCAGCTGCGCGCGCCCCTCCGGCGAAGGCACCGGTCGTACACCTCTCTCTCTCTCTCTCTCTCTCGGCTTCCTCGCGGGAGTTAAATCATGGCGGACGTATTGTGACAGTGCCGATCACTTATGTTTTCCAAACACACGCGGGGACACAAAGGGTTCAGGTCCCGTATTGAATTATCCCGCCGGGCTTTAAATACTCCGACGAGCGATTCGGCACAGAACGATCCACGCGCAAGGATACCTATACATCCTTTGGGGAGAGGTGGGAGGAAGGATGCGGTGTGTACAAGGCTGACTGCTCATCGTGCATACCGAATAGGCTACTAGGAATCCTTTCTCCGTATCCTTTACACGCGCACTCGCGCTTGTTCTCTCTCTCTCTCTCTCTGTTTCTCTTTCTCTTCAACCTCTCGCGACCTCCCGTCTCCTTTTCTCCGTTTCTCTCGTCGTTCGTGCGCCGTTTATCGCAGCGAGCAATATTCATCGCATTTGAATATCCTGCGGGCGGTATCTCGCGTAGCGATCAGGATGTTGCGCCGATGTTGCCGTAAATCATAATTAGCCGCGCTTGAAAATTAAAAGTGGAGGAAGCGGGCTCTCTCCGAGTTTTGAGAAGCAGAATGAGAGAGGAAGCACGTGCAGGGGAGTGGGAGAGCAGGCTCCTTTCCGCCGCGACCGACCGCAAAGCTGGGACCGAGCGCGCAGGATACGCCGATCCTTCATCATAATTTCGATATGTTTATCGGGCCTCACGATTAAAGACGCCGACCGGTTAAGACACTCCGCGGAAAGAGGAAGGAAGCGGCCGTTCCACGCTTCCTCCGACCGATTACGACCGGATCGTGCTCTTTCGCCGCTCGCGCGTGGTTGCGGCATAATTTGTTTGGCCCTTCCGAGGAAACTATATTCTCATCTCGCCCTCAATCCGCGTGTGCGTGCGTTATTTTTCAAGTAATTGATATCTCCTTTCAATTTCCGTTCTTCGTCGGTTACTCCATCTCGGCCATAAGAGGTGGCGTTAATTTTTCTTTTCCACAGTCCAAAAATCATTCTTTTCTTCTATCCGGGTATCTGTCGAAAATTTTCGTATTCGCCGCTCGTCGATCTGAAATGCTAATTATATACATAATCTATCTTCGCCCACAAGACTGATACCCTTGTCGCGCCAGGAGATTTGGATAAGACATTAACGCTCGGCCAAGGATTTTGACACGTTTCTCTTTATACGGGTGTTTCCTTACAAAAGGGACTGTTTATTGCGGCGCGTATACATTGAATGGCCCGTGATAATTATGTATTACTCACCCGGCCGCGGCGGGCCGCCTTTCATATACGACTTGACCGGGCGAGCCGTTAATTTTTATTGCTTGTAAGCGTGGAAAGGGTTTCTCGGGCCATGCGGGGAAAGAGAGAGAGAGAGAGAGAGAGAGGGAGAGGGAGAGAATCCTCTCGCCTCCGGACATCCTGTAATCTCCTGGGAAGCCCGTGGGTAGAGAGCCGCCGCCACCTCGTCGGGGCTTTCTTCACAAGTAATTATCATGCAACGTGGCCGCGCCATTCCGCCCTTCGCATCCCTAATGACCGTTTCGTCTAGCGCGGTGTCGCGTGCCGCGCCGTTCGCCGCGGCCAATTGCCATATCAACACATTTCACGTAACTTTCCATCCGAGTTTTCCCCGAACGGCTCGTTACGAGTCATTGAATGCGCGACGAGCTCGTCACGACGCTGGGCTTGTACGAAGAACGGGAAGAACGTGCTAATGGAGGGATTGGATCAAAGCGATGATGTCCGCGTGGAAAATTGTGCGTAGATGGAACGTCGCCGTAGCGGCGTGACATTTACGCGTCAAATCGGCAGTTTTTTTCTTTTAACGACTCGCGAATTTTTCCCCCATCCCTATTTGGCGAGTTCAGTCGAGAATAGCAGTCGTTGTCGTCGTCGTCGTCGTCGTCGTCTCGATCTTCAATATTCGACGTGTGCGAGCGAGACGAGAGAGAAGCCCGGCTCGAACACTAATCGCTACGGCGTAACGCGTTACACTCATGTAACACGACTAATGCGGCCGTTTGTAGGCATTATGTTTTTCCGACAGCGCAGGCAGCTTCTTTTCTATGTAAATACGGAAGAGTACGGGTGGCGAAAGGTACGTTAACTGTCATGCCTGCCCTCGTGAGAATTCTCGCGGTTACCTCGGTTCTCTTCGCTTTGTGTGTGTGTGTGTGTGTGTGTGAATCGTGTCTCTATGATGCGAGAATAATAATGAGTTCCTCCGCAGCGATCCGTAGCGTGGACCTCTTCGAGTCGGTTGCTACCGCGCGTACTGCGCGATCGCGCTGAATTTCGTCGAGCGGCCGTGAACGTCGCGAGTCCTCGTCGCGAACATTACCGTTAATTGCCGCAAAAGTTAAGATTCCCGGAGATGTTCGTTTAGAAATGTCGGCGTGTGAGGCAAAGGGAGGAAGAACGGACTTCTTTTACGAGGGAACTCACGAAAGTGCGGTGCTCGCGCTCGTACGCGTATATACGCGCGCGCGCGAGAGAGAGAGAGAGAGAGAAGGCGAGCGCGAATGCCGACGGCGTCTTCGCCGAGACGCCTAACAAGAAGCTCGCTTTTACTTCGGCACCTCGAGGACGCGTTCTAATTAGGATCACGCGTGTTCACCTCTTATACGGGCCGAGTCTTGTCGGCAGTCTCCTCGTCCCCTTGTGCGCGGGGGCGCTGGAAAGAGAGAGAGAACGAGAGGGTGGAAACTCATCGTAAAGGCGCCTAACACGGCCATGCCGAACTTGGAATTTCTGCCGTATAGTTCCGCATACATTAGGGACCTTGGGTGAAACTTGGAGGGTAGTTTGCCTCCCGGCAGGAGAGAGGAGTCGAGAGCTGGAAGCGTAGCGCGCGCTCTGAAGGACGGCCGGGGCGGGCGGGAGGGTTGGGTGTAAACCGCACAAAGTAATCTTACAGAATGTATATGCAAAGAGGTTCAACGGCTCGGTGAGGCGCGCGATGCGACGCGAGGACGGAGCGAGGGCACAGCTTGCGTGATTCTATTCGCGACAATCCCGACAAGACACCTCTCCGGGGGCAAACTTTGCCCCCTCGTGCAACCTTACTCCCGAAGACTACCCGCCGACTCTCGATCGACGCTATCGATTATTTCCTCCGCTTGACTCTCCCGTTTTTCATTCTCGACGCTGAGCGTCCCGACAATGACGGGGGGTGGGGGTGGGGGGGGGTCAAATTGAAATTTCTCTCGGATAAAGTCCTGCGGAGATTAATAGAGGTTCCGATTGGAATTTAGCTATATGAAAAATCCAGACAGGAGGAAAATCCGTGTTTGTCGGTGACTAAGCTCGTTGGAGCTTTCACTTGTCGGCGGTTCGGAGAGACGTCGGTATGAAATATTGATACGAATCGGCGAAGATGGAAAGATTGCAATCAAAGTACCGTCTTCATTGAGCAATAATCGGCGCCGGCGATCGCGCCGGTTATCTTCAGCGTGAAATCTAAACTATTAGCGTTTCTAAGTATAACCACCGCATCAGTCCGTTCGGCGGGCTTGACCGCGTCATTTGTTTATTCAAGAAATATCCCTGTCGTTAGTCAAACCAACAAAGTCACCAGCGCACTCGACAGGCATTTACAGGCAGGCGCGCGCGCGGTGGTTGAAGCGCGTTACTCGGCTTCCGCGAAGAGAAAAGAGACAGGGGAAAAGAGGGAGGACAAAGAGGTGCGCACTTATCCGTTCCGAGTGGCCGGCGAGATACGCAGATAGCGCGCGAATCGTGAATGATGGAATTAAAATTGTGTGTTTACATCTTGTTCCTTTAATTAGGCAAATTCACTTGGACGAAAGTGCCAGCCGATAAGTGCCCGCGAGATAAGCCACTCATTACCGTCGACATTTATGGAGCATGGTGTCCGATGATGCTAGAGGCTCCGTTCTCACATGCTCTCTAATCTCTCCCGTTCCTTTCCCTTTTTTTTCCTCTTCATTTCATTGCCACGCTATCGCGTGAGCCGCGCGCACAACGCGGGAAAATCGCGGTAAAAGCGCCGACGCTCGTTCTTGCGGGAAGGCCGCGCGCTCGCATGGCGTCTCTCTACGTGGCGCGGCCACGAATTATCGGCTATCGAACGTTCTACAACGTAATCGAGTAAATTATGGCACAGCGCTAATACGCACGGCAACACCTCGTCCGACGATAATTAAATACTATGCCGCTTAAATTTAATAACCGGTCGGATAATTGCGGGTTGCGCGATAGTGCGTCTCGCCCGATGATAATTCATCGCGGTCGCGTTAATAACAATGTCGATAGAGAGTGGGTCGGAGGGAGGGAAGGAGGGGGAGAGAATCAGAGAGAGAGAGAGAGAGAGAGAGAGAAAAGCAGCGAGGGGACCAGCAACGTGATCCATAGCGACCCAATTTTCTTGGCACTGTCGCCAGATGCGTATACAAATTTACGCATAGGTTTCGTGCTGTACCAATATAAACAAGCTTGTCTACAGGAGTAGTTAGCACCCACTGTTCGCCGTGTAGCGCGACTAGATACACCTCTAACAGGTCTGCCGACATTTATTCCGGCCTATTACGAGTTAATCTTGAAGGCACACACACCGCGCATTATCATTTAAATTGGTGTCGTTATGCACGCGCATTAAATTTGTTTGCTCAACGGCAGCGACGGTGGTGGCGGCGACGCGCTCGACTCGCTTCGCCTTGCTCCGCCTCGCTTCCGCGAGAATTCTTTGGGCCTTTATGTGGTAATGGCAGGTAC